TATGCAATGTTTTGTATGTACCTGTGTATATGTGTGCATGTATGTATGTGTGTATATGTACATGAGTTTATGTGTGCATTCGTGTGTGTATATATTTCATGTGTGCATGTATGTGTGCATGTACATGTGTGTGCGTGTATGTATGTCCTTGTGTGGATATGTGTATATGGGTGTGTATATGTTTATGTGCTTATGTGGGTATGCATGTGTACATATATGTGTGCATGTATGTGTGCATGTGTGTGTGCACACACATGTGTGTATGTGCATGTGGGTGTGTGTCAGGGTACAAAGTCCAGAGCTTTAATCATTTTAACAAATATTCTTCAAAAACAAGAAGCCACTCAGCTATGTCCGAGCCCTGCACTCCCTAGACAGGCAGGGAGCTTCAAGGACAAAGCTCTGTGGCACAGCTCTTTGGGGGACGCCCGTGGTCCCCGGTGCACACCTCTGCCTGCCAATCTAGCTGCAGACGTGGGGGCAGCAGTCACCTGAAGGGCTCCGGCCCACAGCCAAGGCACCGGCGCCCCACATTCCAGGTCCTGGGTTTGATACCCATCTCTGCCCAGCTTCCAGCCTCCTGCCCATGTGTGCCCTGGGCAGCAGCAGGTACCTGAGTGGTAGACTCAGATTGAGTTCCATGCTCCTGACTTCGGGCTGGCACACCTCTGGCTATTGTGAGAGGCAATGAACCAGCGGATGGGAGCACTTGCTCGCTCGTTCTCTCTCTCTCTCTCTCTCTGAAAAGGAGAGCAATGCCAGTGTGATCACTAGCGTCCCCTGGCTCTTCCACAGCCAGCACTCCCCGCAGTGCCCCACAGGGGTGAACTCATCCAGCCTCATGGAGGACCTTGCTATCCCACTCTCCAAGTGGGAGACTGAGGCCGATCTGCTAAGAGGCTGCCCAGGACATGCGGAGGCAGAGGACAGAGCCTGTCCTGTGACAGGCACCCTGCTTGGGGCGTGGATCAGACAACCACACCAGGGCCTGCCCAGGCGTGAGGGCCCCGTGCAGGCAGAGCTGCGTGAGAGGGGGTCACTGCATCGTCCACATGCCTGCGTCACAGCTCAGCAGGGGCGACTGGGACCTGAGCCTGCATGACTCAGATTCAGACGACCTCACCAGACCACAGCTGCGTCCTTTCTTCTGAAAAGAGCAGCGGCGGTCTCTGCTGCACACAGAAGCCAGGGGCTCCAGCAGCTGGGCCCAAGGAAGAGCAGGATCACACCTGCGTCACAGAAAAGCCCCAGCCGCTGGCCCTGGCCCGTCGCCTACATCAGGGAGCCTGGTCAGAACTCACCTGCCCCAAGACAGTCACCCCTTAGCCACAACAGCAAAGTCAGACTGGAGTCACTCGGGTTCTCTCCACCCAGCAGCCACGGATCCTAGCTGCCACCGCCTCGTGTGAGACAGGCACTGCTGCCGGAGCTGGGACGTGGCGGTGACTGGCACCAAGCTGCTCCACACTGGGCTGCCTCCCAGGGGGACAGGGGGCCGAGGCTCGGAACCAACTCCACGGTGATGACGTGGCAGAAACCAACACACACGATGCTGTCCAGGGCAGTGAGCCTTCCTCCCTCCTCCCTGACGCCCTCTGTGAAGGGCAGGGTGCCTCGGGAAGACCCGACAGGGAGGCAGACCCTCTGTGGCCTGGCTCCTAGGCAGCTGGGCGGCTGCCTGTCGACCCCCACCCCAGGCACACCCTGCAGGTGCACGGAAGCACCATGGCCGACAGTGTCCACATCACCGCACCGCGAGGACCCGGTCTGCATTCGAGAGAAGCCAGCGGCGGAGCAGGGTGCAGAGGCCTTGGCAACGTGTGCACGCTCCGTGCTACAGGAGGAGGGGAATGAAGAAAGCACGAACGCATCGACCGCCAGGCTCAGGTGCTGTCAGCAGCCAGCAGCGTCTGCAGAGGTCCACGAAGCTGCTCCAGGGAAGGAGGGCCGAAGGAGACAGAGGAGTTCACCAGCTGGTTCATCCGCACTCAAGGGCAAAGGCCCCCGGAGGACACGGGTGTGCCTGCCATCGGAGATGGCTCCAAGGCACAGAAATCCAGCTTTTCCAGAAAAATAAGTGGTCGGAGAGCCATCAAGGCTCCTACCCCTACCCCGGTCCCACCACCACCAGTAACAGCAACAGCCACTGCCATCAGCAGCCGTCGTCCAGGGGCTCAGACGCCTGTGGCACCAGACCGAGGCAGCCCTGCCACGCCAGCCGTCTCCTGTCCAGCACGCTTGGCCCGGCACCGACACCATCATTACACCCACTTGCAGGCTAGAAGGCAGCTACTCCATCTGCCAACTCAGAAACCCTGTCCTTAGGATCTGATATCCACAATGCTTAAAACCAGGACAGGACTAAGAGTTGGGTGCACTCAGGCGCCATGGTTATGTCGCCACCGGCTGGAGCGCTGGCTCCTCTGGTTCTGACCCCAGCTCCCTGCTCACATGCACCCTGGGGGGCAACAGGTGATGGCCCAAGTACTTGGTTCCCTGCAACCCACCTGGTGACCAGGGTGGAGTTCCTGGGTCCTGGCTGTTGCAGCATTTGCTGGAGTGAACCAACAAGTGGAAAATATCTCTCTTTGTTTCTCTCTTTCCACCTTTCTCTGTTTCTCTGCCTGGCAAATACTTTTTTAAAAAAGACTATTCCGGTCTCTTGAGAAGGAGCTCCCTTGACACCAATGTCTCATTTCTCACTTTCAGTGAAAAGTGGAGCACACTGGGGCAGGCAAGAGCAGGGGCTCAGCACCAAGGAACCTTGTGTGGGCTGAGGCCTGCTCCAGCCGCAGGGGGGCTGGGCACACGCTGGCCTGGGCAACCTGGCTTGGGGAGGGGGAAGCAGTTGAGACAGCCAGAGAAACTGGAACAACTCAACTAGGCCCGGGGCAGCGACGTCACTTCCTGCTTCTTATTGCACAAGGAGAGATATTTCTCCACCAGCACCCGGAAGAGAAAGGAGCCACCGCGGCAGTCGGTACTGGCGCCGGCAATCACCTTGCAATTGCTTGGCTGGGCCGCAGATGTGTGCACACGTAGAGCACAGAAGCAGGAGAGGCTGTGGGAGGGCCCAGGAACCGGCCATGTTCCAGGAGAGCCATGGCCTGTGGCTGCAGGAAGTTCATTTTCACGCATGGGAAACATTAATAATCAAGGGCCGTGGACTGCGCCTCGTCCTCCCGACTCCTCCCGTGAGCCCCCTGTGCCTCTCAGAGCCCTGACCATGGTGACTTCCTGACACCAGACTGGATGGGACCCACACTAAGGGCACATGGATGGTGCAGACCTCCCGGGGAAAGAGCTGGCCAAAGTGTCCCAGGGCAGCCAGGGCCAGAGGTCACCGTCAGGGTTGAAGTATCAGCAGTGTTCCTCCCCCCTCCTTCCAACTAAGCCACTGTCCCCAGCATCTTGGGAACCCCAGAGCATCCCTAGACCACCCTGAAGAGACCATGAGCCACAGCCCTCTCCCAGGGACTTGAGGGCAAGCCCCCATCTCCCATAGCAACAGCATCCCTACCCAGAGGACTCCAAGGCCACAACTCTGCCCAGGGGGCTGAAAAGCTGTGCGCTGAGCTGCCGGCCGCTAGAGCTGGTAGTGTCCTTGGGAAGGCAGCAGGTGCGGCTGCCGGGGGGCCCTCCACACCACAGCGGCAGCAGGAGCTGCTTCCTGGCCATGCCCCTGCAGGGGACACGTGGACCAGGCTCCTCCACCCCCACCCCCTGCCCTGCCACGGGCCCAGGCTTTGCAACCCTTGTGCAAGGTGCCGAAAAGGAGAGACTTCTGAAGTGGCAAAAGTCTTTTCCCTCAGGGTGTTTGACAATGAAACCCAAATCCCCAGTAAAATAAACACCTGGAACATCTGGTCCCAGCTATGCCTGCAGCTGTGCGGAGCACACACCAAGGAGACCTTCACCACGGAGGCCGAAGCAGGCTGGGGCAGAGCTGACCCCAGTGGCTGGAAGGAGGCCTCAGGCCCGAGCACCAGCCTCTGAACGGCCATTTCCAAGGGGGCGGAAAACTCGGCACAGAGCACGGGCGGCCACGGCGGACCCACCAGCGCCCATCAAGCACCCGCGAAGCACCTGGGAGACCACGCAGAAGGCAGGCCAGGCCCTCCCAGGACTGAAACAGCCCCCGCTCCTGCCTGGATGCCACGCCTTCCCCACCGCCCTGCCCTGCGACCCCAGCTTCCCACAGCTGCCTGTGGAAGCCCTGCCTCTTCCTGCGCGCCTTCCAGCCAGCCTGGCCGCCCTGCCTTCCCAAGTGCTGTCGGCACGGCCTGCGAGTGGCCGAGGGAAAGACCAGCTGCACGCCGGAAATGCAGTGGTGCCTGCGGTCTCTGCTCCTTAGGAGCCTGTCCAGTGGACGCCCTCACTGGAGGGCCCTGAGGTGCAGCGGGCCGGGTTCTCCCTGGCGGCCTCCAGCCCACCTCTCCCGGGAAATGGCTGTCCCGTCGAGCCCAGGGTCCATAGCCCAGAACCAGGCTTGGAAAAGAAGCATCAACTCCCATGAAGTGACCCCGAGGACATGACCTGGGGGACATGACCAGACAGGAGCCCCGATTTTCCTCCTGACCATCAAGTCCCAAAGCCCTGCTCTGAGTCTGCTCCAGACAAGGCTGAGTGACCCTAGACTGTTGTTGCCCCCTCTCTGGGCTTTCTCTGAACCCAAATCTGAAGACACAGTGCTCAGCCAGCCTGCTGCCTGCTTCCTCCAAGCCACCCGCTCGCTGCACTGTACCAACGACCTCGGGGAGGGGGCTGCTCACGTCACATCCCATCATTGATTCCCATGAAGAGGGATGCCATCACGAGGAGGGGCACCCTTGGAGTTGGGGGCCCCCAGCCCCCAACTTCCCGTCCTGACGACCAAGGCCCAAATCCCCACTCTGAAAAAAACTGAAGTTCCAGGAAGTTAGGCACCTGGGGTCTGTGCCCCAGGGCACCAGGCCCCGCCCAGGGCTCCCGCCCACACTGCCCCCGCCAGCCCCGCTCACATGTAGCGCAGGTGAGGGTTCTTGGCGAAGGCTCTGGGCTGGATGCTCCGCAGGCCCGAGTTCCGGATGGTCCTGGACAGGGAGGAGAGAGGCTCAGGGGGCGGCAGAGAACCAAGCATCAGGGAGGCCAGGGGCCTCAGGCACACCCCACGGAGACCTGGCCCAGGGCCGATGGTTGCCCTGCCCCAACCTGGGGGAGGCCAGGGGCTCCGCTCGTCCAGCACTCCGACAGGGTCCTCACAGCCACCAGCACCGAGATCCGCAGAGGAGGCGGCTGGGAAAGGGCCCCGGTGTGAGCCCCAGATGCACATCTGAACCACGAGGGCTGACCACAGCCGCTGCCTGGTGTCTCCAGGAGAGGGAGAAGCAGGGGAGGGAGATGCCTGGCACGCGTAAGGGGGCGGCGCCAACCCCACCACTGGCCCCCAGGGTAACAGCACTCCCCCGCGCCTGGCACTCACAGCTTCTGCAGTCCAGTGTAGAGCTCCATGTCCACGGCATTGAGCGTGTGCAGGCTGGGCCAGTTCTCGATGTGTCTGCAGGGAAGACAGGCAGGACAGTCAGCTTTGAAGTCGGAGACCTCAGGGTGGACCAGGGTCAGTCAAACGCAAGTCTGGCCTCTGGCCAAGTCACCAAACCTCTGAGCCTCTTTGTGGTGGGGCTCCCGCCATAGGCCTGCGGGTCCTTGTGGGTAAGCTGCCTGGTGGGGTCACCATGCAGCCTGGCAGAATTTTAAGTCTCTCTCCACCAGCTCCAGACTCACTCTACCTCCCTGCTCCCCCACCCCCATCTTTCTCCTATTTAGGATTTCTTAAGGACAGGCTCTTCCGCAGTTCTTCCCTTGAAGATGATGCAAATGACATGAATAAAAAGGAGGGCGTGGCTTCAGTGGCCAACAGGGTGCAGACACCAGCGGCCCTGCTCCGTGGCCAGAACCCCAGTTATCCGGAATTCAGCAGAAACCAAGGTGTGACCTGCAGAGGTGACCCAGAGAGGCGCAGAGGCACCAGGAGCGGTGGAGAGTGGGTGCCAGGGCTTTGCAGCAGGTGCCAACCCCTCCAGCCTGGCGCTTCCTCTCTCGGCAACACCGGACCAGCACTGCCCCTGTGCTCGGTCCTGAGAGACCCTGAGTGTAAGGGGCTCGGGCCTGCCACACTATATTCATTAAGTAACAATCAATTCATCTTCTTGGATGTATTAATCAGACATAAATCACTGCTAACCAGAGCTTTGGAATCAACAGACACAGCCCAGAGCTAACTTGCCCAGCACATACATTCTAGCTGAAAGCAAAGAGACTGGGAGGTGCTATAGCAGGAGAAGGCCCTCCACGGGCCGACTAATGATGCCCGGGCCTCTCCAGCTCAGGGGCAGTGTGGAAGACGCCCATTCACACACCGCTGCTGTCCCACGAAGCACGGAGGAGCTCAGGAAACCGCCCTCCCTGCCCCGCTGCCCTCCGGATCTGTCCCTCTGGGATCCGTCCCACAGGGTCTCATGGTGAAAAGCACAGAGAGGCGACAGCTCACCCTAGACAGAGCGACCCAGGCAAGCTCCCGCCAGCAAAAGGCAGCCACCTTCACCACACGGCTCCGCCTGGCTCTGCCACGCCTGTGGCTCTGCCATCTGCCACCGAGTCGAGCTGGAGCCAGGAAGGCAGCAGGCTGGTGGCTGCCAGGGCCTCTGGAAGCATTTCCAAGCCACACGGCGATGAGAAGGGCTGATGGCCCGCTCCCCACCATGTTCTCCCAGGGCCCCGCCAGGCAGCCGGGGACAGAGCGTCTGCTGGGGACAGGGACAGGTGCCAGCCCACACCAGGCTCCAATTCCACAGTCTCCGTAGGACCCTCTCAGCCCACGGCAGCTCCCTTGGTCTACTCCTACCAGGGCAATAACCCTGGCGACTTTTCAGACAGAAAGGCAGAGGAGTAGGCAGCATGTGCCCCCAGGTCACTCGGCACACTCCCCAGGCCACAGTTCCCACGCAGATGACACAGTACAGCGTGGTCCACCACCCAGGAGCGGGAGAACAGCTCCCAGCGAGCAGATGTCCATCAAACTGATCCGTACACAGAGCCTTCTTCTCAGCCCTCACGGGAGCCCCAGTGTGCCCGACGCAGGTGGGCTACAGGTCGACACTGCACTCGGGCTTTGCTCTTCTCGGCCTTCCAACCGCACACCCAGACCAACCCATCCCCGATGCGTTCACCTCGAGACGCACATGGCTCTCCTGGGACTCAGCGCATCCACCACTGCTTGGCAGGGCCCAAGTGGCCCTAAACCAAGGAAAGGCACTGCATGGCCACGGTGTGAGGACACGGTTAGGAGTCGGGGTCCAGGCCGGTAACCCAGCTGCTGCCAGCTTTCATTCAGCCCCAGAGCTAGGAACGGTTTGACACTTGGAAGAGCTCAATGAAGAGTCGTGTTTTGGGCCTGGCACAGCTGAGATCCAGGTGTGCACGTTGCAGGCATTCACGGTTGTCCCGGCCACTCTCGGGGCACCGTGGACTCAGATGCTGCTGCCGAGAGCCTGTGACCTCCACAGTAAAGCACCAACTTCCAGCCCTGCACGTTTGCCAACCCAGCCCGACCCAGGACTCCTCCGTCTGTGTGGCCCTGCCCAGTTCCTCCCAGGCCTCTGTCATCTCCTCCGTCCAATGGGGGTCTGAAATACTTGCCTCCCAAAGCAGACACGTGGGCTGCAGACCACGTCGCCCGCCCTGCCAGGTGCCGGGCACCCCACAGTTCTCAGGACACGGGACATCTACCCCGAGCCTTAGAGACGCTGAGCTGCCATCCCCAGTCTTCAAGCTGAAACCAACAACGCATCTCTGCTGGAAGTTGTCACTTTCCCGCAGCCCCCGACGAAACCCAGGCGGCAGAGGGAGGGCAGAGAGCTGTCGGCCACAACCTCCAGGAAGCCTCTCCGAGCAGAAACCTATGAACAGGTGCCTGGAGTGTGCCGACGGCTGGCTCGGAGCTGCGGTTCCGGCGAGCAGCAGGACAGTGAGGGGGCAGCCCTGGGGCCAGACCAGCCGGGTCAGCCTTGGTGACTGCCGCTGCTGTGTGCCATCAGGGAGGCCACGGGCGCGAGTGGAGAAGGCAGGCTCTAAACAATATAAAAATAAATAAACAAATAAGTGGGAGAGGCCGGTTTTGCTTCTTTTAGCGGCAAACGACGCAGCCACAGGGGCTCTTCCTCTTCTGTAGTGTCCCAGGCTCATTCCAGGGGCCTGGTCCATCCCTTAGAAAACAGCAGCCACGCTTTTTCCCAGGAGGGTAAGGAGCCTGCACCCCACATCGGGCAGGGACGGCCGACCGCGGCATCTCACAAACCCACCTTGGCTGTGGGGAAAGTGCTCGGAGCAACTGAGACGCTGTCGCGGTGAGAGTGGGAGTGCAGGGCCCACCAGGCCTGGCCCAGCCCCCTGCCAGTGCCCCTACCTCTGTCAGAGGTGGGAGAGCAGAGGAAGCGCAGGCACAGGGCTACCGCCCACCCCCACTCTACATCATTGAACCCCAACACACGCTCAACGCGCCATTCTCAAAGGGAGTGGAGCTGATCCCCAGGGCCCTCTGCCCATGTCTCCAGACAAGAGAAAGCGTCACACAGTCGCATGGGTGTCCAGGCTGCTCAGCCTCCCACGACACACAGCACAGCCTTTCTGCAGGAAACCTGGGCCCAACCCTGAACACCGTGGACCCCCGTGCGCCCCCAGGCACTGGGAGAGTTTGAGAAACTCATGGTGGCGTAGCCGTCCTCGGTGACTCACACACAGCTCCAGGTCCTGGGAACTCAGGCCACAGCACGTGGCTTTGTGCCCATTTTTGGAAGGAGGCATGGCATGGGTTAAACACGAACCACGCGTGCGTGGAGAGCACAACAGTCCTTGGAGAGATGGATTTTATCGCACTTGCGTACCACAGCCCTCCTTCCTCCTCCTGTGTTGCTTGGGCCAGTGTGCAAATGAGTTGGCAATCTCTGAGCATCTAAAAATTAGATGGGACAGGCTGTGTGGTCCACATGTTAATTAAAAGCCTGTCACGGGAGCCGTTCCAGAGCTGCTTCTGCCTCTAGGACTTGGTGTTGAATGCTTGCACCTCCTCCGCCCACAGGACTGCACAGCTCCGGGGTGTCCACTTCCACCGACCCCAGGGGACCCCAGTGACCAGGAGGCCCACAGACGACAGGGCTCTTCACCAGGGAGAGGTCTGCCGTGAGACAGACCTCGGAGGACCCCCGTTCTTCCTGGCACTGCCTCACCTGTCCATCCTCTGCTGCTCCCTCGGTCACTGTCATGTTCACTAAGAATCCCCACGGCTGGTGATGAGCTGCTCTGTGAGACCCTGACATGTGAGATCTCTGCATTTCCAACTTCCTGGCCTCGTGTTTCTTTTTTCCTCAGATAAGCAACCTCCACGCTGGCTGAGCAGCAGAGATGAAGCCCAGTGCACCCCATGCCCTTGGCGTTGCCACATCTTCACCAGCCCAGCCGACCCCGGGGGCTCGGGTGCTCAGAACCCGAGCCCCACCCACGTGGCCCCTCATCGCGGAATTCCAGGCACTAGTGGTTGCTGCGTCACTTCCAACTGCCCACAGGCTCTTCCCTGGTGTCGGGCTGTGGGTCTCACGTCTTGAGCAGCTGTCCCCAGAGCCCCTTCTCCCCAGACGGGCACAGCCAGTGTCCTTTGCAGGCTCTTAAAGAGCTGCTGTGTGAGCTACGTCCATGGGCGCTGCTCACCCCTCCTGCCCTCAGCTTCCTTCCTGGTGGACACACTCAGCCTTGTGTTGACGTCGTAACCATGCATGCAGGAACAGCAAACAGAATGACAAGGATTTAAAGCCACAGGAAAACGCACACGGAGTGCGACAGCCGCTCTTGCTTCCTTGCCGTGAGTTCCGCAAGCGCTTTTCGGATAACTGAGGTTTTCCTGCAGCTGCAGTCATAATTCACGTCTTCCTGGTGCACTCGGGGTTCCAGACAGCGTTCTTGGATCTGCCGCTCCCCAGCAGAGCTCAGGAGCTTTGGAAAACAAGTCCTATACCGGTGGCCCTCTCACCCCAAGGATCCCACCACCTTCTCGCCTGCAGCCTGTTCTCAGAGGGGTGGCACGGAAGGGTCAAGTTGGGTGCTTGGGGAAAGTGGCCTGGAGTTCCATTTCCTAACAAGTTCCCACTGGAGCACACGCGTGCGTGTGAACATGCACACACACAAGGACACAGACACGCACTCTGAAGCCTTGCACCACTGAGGAAACTGACAGTCACAAGGCTGTGTTGTGTCTGCTGGACCAGACAGCAGTCCCGCCCTTCCGTTATCTGATGTGTTCAGCCTCATCAACAAACTCTCTGGGGCACCAAGGGAGCTGGGAGCATGACATTGGTCCACACTGCCAAGTCCTGGGCCCCCACCACAGCTCTGGAGGGGGATCAATGCCTGGGGGCCTGGCAGCTGGGCTGGTGACCCAGCATATCAGCACTTGAGACACTGCCCGTCACAGGCAGCAGGGTGCCAAGGACCACAGGGAGCCAGTCC